ATTTGCTTCGGGTTACGACCAACTCGGGATATATCCAGAGTCACGGAACGGATGAAGTTCGTATCCCGAGGTACCACTGTATATATCAGATAATAAATATTTTCTTCAATCTTCCCCACCCTATGCTGTTAAGACTCATAGGGCCCACAAAATGTGCTATAGATAATGAATACATTTATTGTTTCTTCTTTTAATGGCATGAATTATATTAGTTGTTAAATCAATTATTACAATTTTAATACAGAGTTCTAAATGATTTAATACAAGAAAAAGTACCAATAGCTTAAAGGCAGTAATTTTTATTTGTAGCATTAAATTAAAATGTGTAGGCTCTGTGATTGTCTTCAACAGATTATCTTTAATGGTTATATTTTCTTGCCATGTAATATAGAAATGGTAATCAACTATGTGCATGCACTGAGAACATCATGAATGTAAAACTAGAGACTGCATTAACTGATTGTTATTTTAAAACATAAAAAATTACAGTGTGCTTTGGTTCTAAATTGTAATGCTACATTATTTCTTTTTCCTAGATAATTAAAACACTTAACATATTATCTATAATTTTAGCAGTCTCATTTCCCATGCATTATTAATCTGATATAATATAAATGGAACAGATGTAATTTCTGTCTTATTTTAATATTTGTGTGAAGATTAATTACATGTGAGTTTAATCTTCTATGCTATTCCTGAAGCCTAGATTAAAAACACTTCCTTACAATATCTCTCTAACTTAAAATACCAAGCATAGAAAAGGAAATTTTCTATTTCTCTATGAGTGTATATCAAAAATAAACAGAGGCTATAATATCTTTTTAATTAAAAAAACCTCAAATAATTAAGAGAATATTAGACATCTTATATTTTTCCTAATAATGTAGATCCTTTATGGCCAATAGAGATTTTGAACATTGGCCTTACTGTGGAAGAATCTGTTCCACTCAGCTCATGCATCAATATTTCCCCAGGGAACTAGAAATGCAAGGATTTGAACCTAGGAACTTTCCAATGTTGAGCTTGTCCTTCAATACTACAGGTAGTCCACATTTAGTGACTGCCTTGTACAGCGACTGTTCACAGTTACAATGGTGATGAAAAAGTAACTTTGCGACCAGTCCTTGCATTTATGACCTTTACAGGTCTGTAAAGCAAAGGAAAGTTGAAGTAAGATCATAAGCACAGTCACAGTTTCACTTAGGGACTGTTTTGCTTAGTTGCTTGTCCCAATGTGGTCGCTAAAGGAGGACTACCTGTAGTGATGACCCTTCTTTCAGTATACCTGGGCTTTCTGTGACTTGAACCTCAAGCTTTTGAAACTAAATCAAAAGGTGGGGTGTTCAAGCTGAGAGGGCCTGAAAGATTTTTAGAGGCTAAATCCAAAATTCAGTGCCAAGCCTGGTAGTTAAACTAATTACATATATGTTTCAATAGTACTTCTGGTGTATACAAGACTTAACAGTAATTAGAATGATGTAGTTGGAAATAGTTAAGCTTTTTAAAAAGTTTAAGTAGAGGATACTTTGTTGAATTTATAAAAGCTTAACAGCTTATTAGAGGAGTTCTAAATGATAAGGGACGGAACCACAGTATGTTCAGTGATGTATGAGACTTGACATGAGAGCCAAGGCTCAATATTGCAATATTAGTATCTCAATTAGTTATGAGTGATGCATTAATGCTCAGTAATGGTGTGTTTCAGGTTAAAGGTAATGCTTTAGGAAAAGTTTTTCAAACGTATCTTTTCATAGCAGTGATTCCTAATCTCTATTGGCTCATGTTTCACAAGCTGATGAAAAATGCCCACAAATGCAGACAAAATTTAGCAATATTTTATTGTACTGGAAAATAATAATAATAGTAATAATTTACAAAATATATATGTTGATTGACTCCCAGCAACTCTGGGCGGTTTACAGTTGTTAAAAACATTTTAAAACAAAGAACAATGCAAAAACATGAAAACAGTCCAAGAGAAAAGAACAACAATAGCAAAGAAAACAAACCTGGAGGGGAACAAAAAAGGAAGAAAGGGGCGTCAGTCATTGATTTTGATTTATTTTTATTTTTATTGATTTTCTTCACATAGCCTGAATATGAAAACAAAGAAAATGGTCTTTCTCTTGTTTTTTTAATGCAAAAATTAACACTTTCTAAAAAAAAAAAAATCCATTTATTCTCCATTTACTCATTTTATATATGTTCATTGTAAAGCATAATGGAATATGCAGGATTTGAATTTAAATTCACAAATAAGCAGGTTCTTAAAAATGGGTGGAAACTGTTGTGACCATAGCAATGCTACCTGATGCTAAATAATTCTACATAATTTAATATAAATGCAGTTACCCATATTAAGCTGAATGAAATAGATGTAGGATGGTTTTCTCTTTCTGGGAAAAAATGCTATTTTGTAATTAATGTCGTTTTCACTTGTAATTAAAATTCATTTTATTAATATCAAGCTAGATTTATCAGAGCTATTTGAGGACAAATTTGACATAAATATTGTAGTACTTTGTTTTAAGCAATAATGAAGATCAGTATTCAAAAGGAAAATAAAAAAAGGGGGAAAATATGAGATGGTTTTGATTTGATTGATTGATTGATTGATTATGTCCCATCAAATCATTATTGACTCTTAGCAACCACATGGATATATTTTTTTCTTCTGTAATGATCATGGCTTTTATTGGAAGAGACTAAATACAGGCATTTGAGCAAATTATTGACATATGCTTTCCAAAATGTAAAGTAGCAGTTGCAAAAGATTAGTTTAGGCAGGGCCATTAACTGCTAATTTATGTAGCATTAGGAAAGCAGACCAAAATAGCAGAAGACCATAATTGTTTCATTCAGTTAGCAAAACTAAGCATTTCTTTTAAGAGTGCTTAAGAGACAATCTATTCTTAAATCTCAATGTGGTATAAAGATAATATGTTGCTTGCTATTTCAGACAGACCTAAGTTCATGTTTGGCTGAGAAAGGCAATTAAAAAAAAACCCGAATAAAAATTTTACTCAGATTTTGGAACCCATGTAGTTCCAAACTTTAAATCCATGGTGAATGATGCTGGCTGGCTGGCAACAAAACAAGTGATTTTTTTTTTAAATTTCCAGTGAAACCCAGCTGTCTAAATGTAGGTTCAGGGTGTTTCATTCTAATAATAGCATTTACAGTTATTTGTGTTTCTGAACAATTGAATATCCCTGAAGTTACTTTGGTCAATGAGGCTAGAGTCCACATACTAACACTTTTATATCTCAAATGCTTTTGTTATGAGATATTTAATTATATATGTTTGTCTTTAGACATAATTTATGTGCTTGCACTGTTTACTGTAAGCAAGGACAAATAAAAATGGTTGAATACATTACATATTATGTGGTGTACATTCTCCTTTGAAACAGTTGCACTTGATAATGAATGAATATATACTTCATAA